CTAGGTACATTACCATATATCACTCGATTAAAAGATACTTATCAAGTATTTTGTAACACATATTCGTCAATTCCTTTTACATATGTCGAAAATTAGCGGATTCTAGTACCTAATAGATAAGTTATGCAACAGCTGCTTAGCGTTTATGCAATCTGTTCATTTGGAATTTCATACGTTTCAGGTCAAAACAGTTTGAAGCAATTATAAATAACCAGGTAGTGATTGATTTTTTTCAGGATGTAACCAATTTGGTGAATAATGGCTCTTTCCTTGATATATTCGAAAAATATTTGGATGAACGAAAAACATACCAAGTCAATAGTTCATATTTGTCCAGTATGTTTGTAGTTTATGCAACTTTTGCTTAGGATGTGAATGCTGGTAGCACGGTGGGTACCTGCCCACCATATAGTCTTCGACCCTTTGAAAGTTTTATTTTCTTTTCCAACTACCAAAATCCCTGGAATTTATAATCGATATATTTAGGCTAACTATAATTTATTGTTCTACGAATAACCAAAAAATGCGTAATTTGGAAAATCCATAAAAGTATCAGTTTACAGCAACTTAAGAATGTTTAATCATAGTAAGGAACACTTTACTCTGTTAAAGTAAACAATAGGTGAAGAAACATATTTTCTCAAATATTTCGAAATTACAAGTGTAAAAAATTTCAGAGACATTTCATTTTTGTTCATTAATTATTCAGCAGCACACGTGATGGAAGGACCGCAGTCAATTGAACACCATTATTGGTAAAAAATCAACATATTCAGGAAATCGTAGCAATACTTCTGGGGTAGAAAATATTTCAAAAATAAGACGAAATCGTTCTTATAAATATGGGTCATGAAGCGTCCCCTGACTCAAGCACAGGGTGATGAAGTCTTAGAGAGTGTTATGATCTTGACTTAAAATTTTGTACATATACTCGTAGTGCTAACTGCATACAAAAATGTTTGCGCCGAAAATGAAGCCAGTGGCCTAGAAATTGGGAAATATTGACCGCTATAGAAGAAAAAAAGAAGAAATTTTTTTCTACGCCACTGAATTTTCTGAAACATCTAGTGCATTCTAGAATTGGGCATTTAATATTACATGAATTGCCTCCCTTGAGAATTTTGTCGGATTTCTCTTTTTTGAAATGAATCCGTATGAAACAATTCAACATATGCTACTTTGAAAATACGCTGAAGTTAGTGAAGTTTGACGTTGAAAATTGTATGTAGTGTATTAGAAAAGTGATCCTATCTCACCTTAGCGTTATTTCTCGAACGTTCATGTTTTGGCCTTATTAAGTATAATATAACATCGAGTGTGACATTAGGAACTTTGTTTATATGAACTTTCTTTGTTGTTCGTGAATATTCTTTTTACTCTAAAAATATTGCTACGTCTTTCTTTAATCACCCTGTATAAGTGTTCCCGTTACGTATGAAGCTTACGTACTTCTGCAAGTAGCCGCATCATTAACACAATGCAGCCCTTTTTCCACCGAACGACTGGACTATGGGTAAACTTGATTGTACTCATACATATACATATTCGCTGACTGTTCCAGCTACTAGGAGCTCAGATTTATTATTATTAAGTAGTACCTATCTCTTCTGTGCCTATCCGCACCGACGTTCCAGCACTACCAATTATTAGTCTGGTCAGTACATCACCAGATCTTTACTTCCCACGCCACTGGCAAGGAAGTAATCTAATCGAACATTTTCGAAAATAATGTACTAAGTTTTTGTGATGTTACATGACACGTACGTAAAACGTAACGGCCGACTTACGGACAAAACACAAAATCGCTCTTAATGTTTAAGAGAATCCTGCTCCTTTTTGAAAAAAAAACCGAGGGGAAAAATTAGGGACGGTTGTTACAGGGGTAAGGACCATATCACAATTTTCTATGTTCTTCTAAGTTTCAGATGTTAAAATAGATATGGACGAATGACGCATGTCTCCAAGGCTTTCTAAACATCCTTGGCTTCTCAGCCTCCTAGAACCTTAACATTCATAAGCTTCCTAAGCTTCTTAATGTTCCTGAGCTACCTAAGCTTTTTTAACTTCTTATGTTTGCTAAGGTTGCTAATAAACGCGCCTGTGTGGCAACACAGCGAACAGCTTGTCCAAGTAATTAACAAAATATGGCTCTCAGATATTTATTTTAAATAATTCAATAAAACTGTGATTCCATTAGTTCCATATTTGTTTTTTCTAGATACGTTCAAATATTTTAACTTTCAAGTTACATACAGTATACAATTATAAAACAAAAATAATATAGCTGTTTTCTATGAGAAAAATCGTAATTTATGGGGGAGGGAGTTGGCTTGAGCCCCAAAGCTCTCTTTGAATATACCTTTGCAGCAGGGATAATTCCTGGCAAAACAAGATGCCTCAGGTAGTTTCCTGGTTAGAGGTAGGGCCTAGATTTTACGTTTGGTCCAATGTACATTGTACAATAGTAAGGAAGTATGAGGACTATATGTTGCTACCGTATTTCAGATCCCTTTTGAACGTCGGATTTGGTTCGTTGAGCTATGGTGTTATGAACGCCTAGCGCAACGCTATCCACCATGATGAAATGTTGCAAACAGTATGTTAATCAATAAAGTCAGAAAGAGGCAGCCATAGTAATAGTAGTGGCGTGGAGGCGAAGACTGGCACCCTTTTTGCCGACCCCGTAGTAGCGATACTGTACTACTCCTACTGATATCAATATGTTGATCTTGCACCGATCTAGTGCGTCGAATGTCATTTTCGCGCGATACGAATCGTTTCCCTCCTCCTCAATGTGCGTAGAGAAATGTGTAGCGACTGAGTAGTTTCAGTCACTATGAGGCATTTCCGGAGAATCTTACACGTCGGTTAGGAGAGCCCGACAGACCAAAACATGGAAAAAAAGAAAAAAATGACCTCCTTAGGTTTCCCTGTCGATTAGCTTGAGGCCTGACGAGAAACGTCGACCGAACTAAAAGTAGAAAAGAAAAAATTGAATCCAGGTGGGGGGCCACAGTGCGAGTCCAGCTCTCGCCGTTCGAACTCCCCCCACCACAAAGCAGCGGCGTTCTCCGGTTGTAAATGCAGGCTAACAGTTAGTAGAACAGGTGTCGGATGCTATGACGTACCACTTTTCACATGGTTCCCGTGTGCAAGTACCCATAATTTTTGACGTTTTCAGTCACAGACCGACAGTTCTGTCGACGGTCGTGAGCACTCGGGCGTACCGCCGGACAATGAAAATAATATATGTGCCTGTTTGAACCCTCGATTGGATTAATGTAACCACTAACTGCTTCCAACATAGGTAAGTGGTACTCTAGAGACGAGATGCGGCTGCCGAGTCGGTTATGATGATGGAACTAAAATCATCCGTTAATTACCCGTTCGTGTCACAGAATGGATTAACGTAACCTAACTACTAAGTAGTACCTGTACGGTCAAGATGAGACACTCAATTAAAACATGTACTAGAACATCCCTTCATAGCTTTGACAGTATATGACCGCTCATACCGTTCCGATTCATTTAAAAGTGGTACCAAAATCACAGATAGTAGCCAATTGGACTTTATACTAGAATCGATCCATCGATAAAAATCTGATTGATGTGACTTTTTTGCTAATATGAATGAGTGGTGCTCTGGAAACAAGATACTAAGGTCAAGTCAGCTATTTTGATGGTATAAAATCATCCGTTAATTGCTTGCTCATGATATAATGGATTAACGTAATACAACTGCCAAGTCGTACTCGATGACAGACTTATATACTAAAACACCCCTTAATTCCTTCGACAACATATGACGACCGGCCGGACTCTAGATTGGAACATGTAGTACTTCCATCATTGATAAATGGTTCCCAGATCTTAGATAGTAGGCGATTGACTGGTTTAGAATCTAATTGATGTGACTTTTTTTGCCAAGACAGTTTGTTATGAGAAGGCACTAAAATCATCCGTTAGTTGCCTGTTCGTGACGGAATGGATTAATACAATATAACTCCTAAGTAGTACTCGTTAAGTCAAGATGAAACAGTCAATGTAGTCATGAACAAATTAATATAGTGCTTGAAACATCCCTTGATTGCTTCGACTGAGAGTACACTGAAATCGATCAATAAAACCTCTAATAGTTACATATAAGTGGTGCCCCGGAACCGAAATATACTAGTCAGTTCAAAGGTCGGTCCATTGATAATTTTGTACCTCTTCCTATTAGCTATGAATTGAATCACCTAACTACTTTCAGTATAGATAAGGTAGCATAGTGCCACTAGCATCATGATAGTCGTGGGTCTGAAATCACCTCTTATATGCACGGAATATGAGGATCTGTCTAACTGGTGTATATTTTTTGCTACTAACATGGACGAGTGGTACTAAAGTTATCCGTTATTTGCAGTTTCGTGAAACAGGATAGATTAACGCAATCTAACTGCTAAGGCATTATGGACAAATTATTATGGTAAGATTCCAATATTATCTGTACTTGAAAGAGGTCACCGTGGTGGCTGAAACGTCGCCAGTAAAAAGTACTTCGAGCATATGTGGTTTCACTTTGTGGCCAGAAAATTATGGAATCCCATCAGCATGGAAACCACTGGATACGTTTGAGGTATTACATTTATTCATCCAAATACTGGCATCCACTGATGGTTCTTAAATATGTAACTGACTGACCAACAGCTAACGGCTTTCATCTTAGCTAAGCGAGCATGAGCAAGACATGTCAGTTAGTCTCATTTGTATTGGTACTATAATCATCCATTGATTTGTTGCTATGCATGGAATCAATATATGAATAAAGATGAAGTAGTAGCCAGTGGTATGCACTTTAACAAGATGCAAAAATCATGGAACTAAAACCGTCACCTACATGCACTTGATATGTGGATTTGATTGATGCTTCTACCATAGATGGGTGGTCCTGTCAAATCGTGATACATCAGCTAAGATTATGATTATGGTTATTCCTTAATTATCTGTTCGTGTTGCAGATATGATTAGCGAAACATATGTGGGATATGGAACCTGGTGGATTAAAGACTGAAAAGCTTCTATCATAGACAAGTGGTACCTATGAAATGCGATGTAGTAATAGTTACTGGTACTGGTATTCCTTAGATTGCATTGTCAAGCACTCGTTTTTATATTGTGAATGTTTCGCTTTCTTTTACTTTATGGGCTCTACATCCAATGACTTGTCATACATAAAATTTAAATAACTTGACGAATAAATTATCAATCAAGATATACTAGATCACACCTCAGACTGAGTTGAGTTAACCTCACTGTTTCCAATATAGATAGATGGAACTAGATTGCCCTGAGTGTAAGTTAAATCCGTCATAAATGTGGTACTAATATCATTTCTTGCACCAACAGTCCCTTCGATTGGACCAATGTATACTCTAAACGAATTCTACCATGAACAAGTGATACCTTAGATTTTTCACGAAAATAGGTTGCACCACTCCCAGTAGGTAACATTCGAAGACCATCTTATTGTAGAAGAGCATCAAATATAATTATGTACTTTCTTAAGAACTTCTTTTTATGTCCTCCTTGTTTTGAGAGTCTAACGCCGCAAAAGTTAGGTTCACACCGCCTTCATTTGTGTACAGCTAGGTTGAGCTTGCTGAGTAATGAAGAACGGCACCACACAAGCTTTTACTGAAAACTGGATAGATGTTTCATAATCTGCTACGAAATCGACAAAAGTAGTACTTGGTTGTTCTCATAGGATCCGACATTGTGCGGCAACTGGGACAAAATGCATTCCTTAACATCATTAACAATGGATACCTCTGTTGGTATCAAGTATGATAGTGTAGTAACACTAATTTAACTTAAATGCTGGAAACATGAAGTGATACTCCAGAATCCAAAAGCGACAATTGCGTACGTCAGTGGTATTAGAATCATCTCTTGATTACGTTAACAATGTTCCCTGGTCGTACCGGATGCTACATTAATGCAACATAACTGCGTCCAACTTTAACATGCTAGTAGTATTCGTAGAGATACGGCAGTCAACTCGGTTATGTAGGTAGCTCTAAAATTATCCGTTAATTGCACGCATCCAGCCAACGAGGATAAGTAATCAGTCGGCAATACCCTGAATAGTGAAGGCATAAGAAGTGAACTGATTGAAAGAAGTTTTTCCTCTGTTTCTGGATATTTACGCAATCTATCAAATACACCATAATACATACTGTGACTCCTATGCATGGTCATTGTCTGCTCTATTTTAGTCTTCTTGTATTCCCTCCTCATTCTTGACAGACTGAAAGTGGCTAGAATCTTCACCACCTTGACAAACTAAATTTCATATCGGTTAACCAGAAGTGTTGATGTAATGCAGGTGCAACCTTTGCTGTATAACTATCTGGCAAACACTGGTCATATGGCAACGGTTATAGTAGGGCTAATAGGTTGTACCTGTCGCTGATCAAGGATAACATGCGATCATTATGTCGACATTGCTGATATGTTAGTGATGGCGTTACAACACCAAAAAATATGTACCGATCCTTTGGATACTGATTTGCTCTACAGAAATATTGTTATAATTAAAATACAATTCTTAATTTTGCGTACAACTTCTCGAGTCCTAACATTAGTCCTAATAGTTCTCATTGATTCATATCTACACATCATGAGTTACAGATATTAGACAGCTTTCCATTCCAAGTGTTAAGTGAACTTTGTAATTTTTTGGTGTGTACTCACCTGTTTTCGGTTTTGATTTTTGAAACTGCAATTCTTTCTACTACCTTGCAACCTGAGATCTCTCCAACATTCTCCCACACATACTGTTTCTCACTACTCTATCCTATTCTTATGGTGACTTTATGGAGATGTAGTAAGGAAGAAGCTTTAGGCTCTAAGCTGGCGCTAGTATTATAGTATCAAAGGAGGACTCGGAAACAGCAGTCTCTAAAATATTATATGATATAATAGAACACGCTATGATTTCCGTCTGAAAGTTTCAAGTGCTAACTGCCAACCTGGTAAACTTTGAGGAGTTGAGCTATGTGCGAAAGAATTTATTGAACCTTACTAAAAAGTAAAAATCTCCGCGCTACATTTTGTAAACATCATGTTGCTGCAATAAAAATTACGCCGTTCAGAGCAAAATATTTTTAATTACCTAGTTTTGAATAGTGAATTCCTTCACAAGCAGTGACGCACGCCCCAATACAAAATTAAATCACGACAGTTCAACTACCTACATTAATTCTAAAGAGACATTATACGCTACCGTGTACTATTCAATTTTTTTCAATGCTGAACAGTGCTATTCATACCAAACACGTACAGGAGCATTCATTTATTATCAATTGTAAAGGAAGTTCATTATTTTATTCTACCAATTCATTTCAAAGTTAAAGCCTTTCTAATGGTGTGAAATGAAGGGCGTTTTGAAAAGCAGTACCAATGCTTTCAAAACATAGATTAACACGGAGGATTGCTAATGATCACAGATCTTAAAATACTTCCTTATCGAAATACAGGGTGCTGAGGTTGTAATTTAAACGTAAATGTAAATGTAGAGAAAATATTTTGGGAGTGGATAAAAGTGCCAACCTAAAATCTTGCACATATAGTACGACTAATACATACTCAAACTCCATGGCTCAAAATAAACCAGACTGGGATATTATTAACGGTACCGAAGTAAAAGTACATAAGTGAGGAAATGTACGTAAGTATTCTCTACATTATTGACTTTTTAAAACATCTAAGATTTCCTGAATAAGGTATTTAGTTTTACATAGTTTTGCGCCTCCTTAAAAACTTTCATCAAACCTTTCTTTTTGGGGAAGATCTGGTTTGAATGTTTGAGGTAAAGTTCGGTTAAAAATGGCGTCATGAAAAATAATTCTCAGATTGCTGCAATGAGCTTGTCCGTACAAAGGTATCTCATTTCTTTGGATCTCGATATGAAACTACTTGTCAAAAATGTTTGATACCTGACCAGATACATTATACAATTATGTACTTTATGGTATTATGTCAAGAAATCAAATAACCTCATTGAATTACACTCCAAGCACAACGCTCATATGATCTAGATAATATCGCGCCCACCTCGTATCTCGCCACATCGGTTGCTTTTGTACCTTTATATCTCACTCGGATTGAACAACAAGGGCAAATGTACGGGCAAATCTATGAGGGGTGAAATATGTGTAATAGTTGTGTAGAATTACAGGGGTTGGAAAAGTATTAATACACCAATACAAAAATTGAAATGTACTCTCCCCCACCCCCTACACTCCCCATCCCTCAATATTCCAATGAAATGTCAAACAACGAATTTTTAGCCTTTTTTTCGTTATTGGCCTTTTTTCACAGCCATTGGACCGCCATAACTTTTTCATCTTTGGAATAATAGTAACATTGTGTAAACATTATTTATATACATATAATTGAAAGTTATAGGTGGACCAAACTTTAGCGGACAGACCGACAGACAGAGCGACAAACCAAGTATAAGTAAAGAGTAAACATTTCAGTTAAATCTGAGAAGTACTTTCCAAGTTATGGTCGGGCCAACGCAGAGACCGACAGACCGACGGAAATGAGTGACATGGTTTTTCGTGGTGTACAGCATCCTAAAAACATTTTCGAAATTTTCCACCGCCTGTACTTTCTCTCACAAGTGCCAGATTTAATCCTTGTCGAAAATCGCGATTAGTTTTTGGATCATCCTGTATGTTTGATATTCGAGCGCCCCGTAGCCATGGGACACTTAAAAGTTGTGACGAGATCCGTTTATGTGGCTGAGCTCAGTTTTATAAACCCGTTAGGTATGTATAATGAATGGATGGCGAGATATGTAATTTGCCGTATCTTAGAGTTCAAGTTGATGCTCAATTCAGTTCAGTTCTTCGGAATCTCATGAATTCAGGATAATCTATGATTTGATTATAGTCCGCCCATAGGCGGCCATTAGGGGCAGCATGCATAGGTGGGTTTGTCGTTAGTCAATCAAGTCATGTGTTCGTGAGTTCAGATCAGTAAGAGAATGTTTGAATAAAGATAGGTTTGAGAATCTTTTTTAACTCCAAAACCGTTCGAAGGTTTGGACACAGATTAGGGATCTATTTTCCTTGGCACATCATCAACTATCGTCCACGATACAGTAAATGGAAAAAAATTGTGTCTAGCAATATACATATTGTCCTGAAAGTTGAAACTTACCTCCTCAGAAACAACTACGATGGAAATAGGTTAATTTGCGTTAAAAATTTTAAGTAAAATACTGACTACGAGTATTTATTGGGTACGGCATTTCAAGTACGGTGTCACATATTTCATTTGGAATTACAGCTTGAAGTCGTCGCTGTTCGATTCAAAAGTACAAGTTTCTTTACTTCTTAAATTGGCAATATTTGGAGCTGTCTAGGTCTTCTACTGTGACCACCCAGACGGGGTTTGCACGCGATATAAACAAATCTACGCAGCTCTGATCCAAATATCGACGATGACGGCGACATTCTGAATACTCGGATACACTCGCGGATTATCAATATGATCTTGAAGAAGAACACACACGTTATGGCTGTAGAAATGCACCAATTTCGGTTTTCAACTGCGGTTTGCTTATAAACTAAGTAAACCTACGCACCGCGCGGCGCTTGATTTAGGTTATGACTGACATAGTCACAGTACCTCACGTAGTAGGGGATGGAGGCAGTGTCGGAATAGCTTAGCGTTATTGGTACTCAACATCTCAGTTACCTTAGTATATGTGTTCCTAGGAAAACCTGCTTATCATTGCCTGAGTATATCCTCTCTAAAGGAAAGCACCAAGTTTGAAGACGTCATATAACTGAATGATTTGCTCCCTCATAATTTTTATTGTAAGTGGGGAGATATGTATACAAAACCTGAGTCATCTGTATCAAGTTTCTCATTAATTCATCTATAAACATAATCCTCTCTCTACATGTGTAACTCGTTTTTCCGACCTGCTGAAACCACATGTCTTGGAGTAGCAAGAGAAGTGACAAATGTGTTGCGAAGAGTATTTTCAGTACGTTTGATCTCCCCATTAGAAGATATCATCTAGCCTCCAAGTTCAACAGATTTAGCTCCCCCTGTGGCGGTGTCTACAGAAATGTGCCAATAAACCAACCACTGCAGCAATGCAATATTTGGGGGGTCAGGCAAAATGTTACTGCTGAAACCTACCAACAAATGAGTGAAGTCGTATTCAAGAGGGCTCAGTCCGCCGTATAATTGCCACTCTTTATAAGCTGCTGATTTTGCACCTGCTAACAAATGATGGGCAATCCGCACAAATATTGTATCAACTTTTCATCAAATGTGAAATTGTGAATCTTCCCTGATATTATAAGGAAATTGAACCACAAAACACTTATCACACCTCTATACCATACCCAAAGGATGTTTGCACGATCGAGTTTATTTCAAAACCAAAATCGTTTTCCATTCAATTTCATTTAAAATGCTACAACCATACTCACATACGTGACCGTTTTAGTCATATTATAGTTATTTGTTTTATAACACTGTATATAGATGTTTATCACAAGGTTAAGTTGCAAATTGTATAGGTATTTACACTATATCGTAGACCAACATTTTAATATGATATGCAGAATGCAGCTAGACCACACTTAAGAAATTGGTTACAATATGAGGTCTTTATTCTTACCAAGGGGTCCTTGGCTACCAGTGGCTGTATATGATTGTCCGCGGCTCTCTATCATCAAACAGATTTGAAAGCACCGAAAAAAAATATGTACAGACATACTGACAGACAGACGGAAATTAGTGAGATGGTTTTCCGTGATGTACATGTCAAAAGAAAACATACTCTGGGAACGGTTTTCAAATGATCTATTTGCCAGTGACCGTCAGAGCGGTCTGTAGGACCTTTGCTCTTGGTTGAAGTATCGTAAGTCAGTAGGTCTGTCAGGACTGGTAGTCCAGATACCAGACAAAGTCAGGGAGCAAAGAGGGAAGAAGAAAGAAGGGAAGGAATGAGGTAAAGCAACGAGTAGGCAGAGCGTCAGTTTGGCGTCTTGACATTGTTTATTAATATTCGGGAATTTTAATTTTATCCTGACATTAATTTAGAGATTGGCTGTTGTAGAAAAAAAAATTAATTCTGGTTAGACCTGCAGTCGCACGACTTGATTTTGTTCGTTTGATCGACTATGTAGTCTACTGACTCGCGCAACAAAGGAATGCTATGCGATTGCGCCTGACTATCGCGTAACTGCATTTGTTGTTTGATGTGAGGTTTCTCATTGGAGACGTACCACGCGCCGTTAGTAATTCTGTTCTGCGTTTTGGCGAGAAGACACGAAACCGCACGTGCGTAAGCGATTGCTGGTCTAATAACTATCTTATATAGCCAAATTTTGTTAATCAAACTTAATTTTGGGGTTCTACATAGCATGCGGTAGAGTTGTCAAAACGTGATTTGGAATTTAGTTTTTAACGATTCTGCCAGGTCTGCTTAAGAGTGACTAGAAGATCTTAGAATTTTTCCATGATACACGGTTTTCAGACAGTTTGCGACCTTCAAATTCAGTCAATCAAACAAAATGTCAAAAAATGACACTCAGATGTGATGCGTCAAAGTTAGTTGCATCCAACCGTCAGACATTCGCCTCTAGAACTTTGATTTAAACATGTTTTCTTGATCACAGTACTTCTTCATCAATTAGCTTGATAAGTAAAAGGAACCTAAGTACTTCACAACAAGCAATTGGTCTGAAATGTATAACACTAAGGATTTCGGAGAAAATGGTCGTTATGCGTTTTGCAAAGAAAAAGTTACAAAAAAGGATTTTGCATGGCAGAAGAAATAAAATATTAGCGCTGTATTTGAAGGCTAGGCAAAGTTTTCGCTTCACATTTTTGATGTTATTCACAGCTCATAATGCCTTACAAATTGGAACGCATAATGCATACTGCTAACTTAAGTTAAAGCTAGTACAATATTCGAACTGCTGTCTCTCGTTATGTAGTAAATGAACATCAACTTTTTATTCCAAATCGAGTTCCAACCACATGTATAGTTGTAGTAACCATTCTTGGCGGGTCAAAATAAGACTACCAGTACTCCTTTATATATATATCTCCATCTCCCTCATACATACACACGCAGCCAACTCCTGCGTATGAATGTTTGTTCGGTAACCTCAAAGATATACATTTTTTAGTTGTCTGTCTCCGTTTTGAAAACTTTGTCGTCACTTATGAATGCCCTCCAATCATATTTCTCAGAGTAACAACTGACTTGATATCGGCGTGCAACTCGAGTTGTCCTGTTATCAATCTTGTTCCGGAAATACGATTCATGGAGAATGCCGACAGATAGTGCTAAATTTATTAAAGTATTTCCAGGAAGATCATGAAAACAGCGGTCTCCTGTTACCCCTTTATGCGTACTGGCGAGAGTAGCAGATGCGCTGAAGATTAGTCTGCGCAGTCTTCCACCCCTGTTTACTTATTTCATAAGGCGTTGATGACGTAACCGCCAAAAACGGTGACTACAACTATATACTCACATTTTCGGTATATAGTGAATTTTAACACTATTGTGGACACTGTGGTTTAAGCTGCATTATTTGTGACGTATTGCTTCCCATGCCACTGGCTAGGAAGTATTTTGATCGTGAAAAAGTTCGAAAATGATATATTATGTATTTGGTGTTATATAACATGTATCACGAAAACCATGTCACTTATTTCCATCGCGCTGTCTGTCGCTCTGCCTGTCCACTAATCCTTGGCTCCCTTATTTCTTAGAAAGTATGTACCTCTGAGATTTTGATGTTTCGACACAATTTAACGATTATTGTAAGGAAGAAAAATCTTTGTAGACTTTTAAAATAAATCCAGTTGCGACGGAGCTACAGCAAAAAAAAACGAAAATAATGGTGTTTTGAGTTTCAAAGGACGCTAACCATTTTCAGAAATTTTTTTGTATGGGTTAAAAATTGGGTACCTATTGGAGATTGTAGGGGTTTAGAATTTTTAGTTTGAGTATATTTATACGCTTCCAACTCTGGTGAATCTGCGCACATCTCATACATATTTGACTTATCATAGATTATTTCGTGCATTTGCCCATAAAACGTGAATGGTACGAAAAATACTTTCAACACACGCGTCTCTGGGTCTACAACGTTGCGGTTTGTCCGATGAGTGGCTGCCGTGGCTGGTTGGTGGCAAGGTTATTAATAATAACGTTACCGCATGGTCGGTTCTATCGATACGATACGGGAGGAATTTCAACATCACAACGTGGTCAAATGAATGGGGACTATGAGCTAATTGTATGGGACTGCTTGAGTGATGTTTATTTGTTTTGTTGTACATATTCGTAGCTAACTTTTTCTCAGAAGGACTAACTTGTGCCTTTATGAAGTGATGACAGCTCTGCGAGGAAAGTGCGGAGCCAACCTACTTGACGCCATTTCTTCCTCATGAATCTAAAACCTCTACAAGTTTATTTTGAAACACAATATTCAGTTATTATCTATCCATGATCAAGTTCCACTCAGATGGTAATATATACCATATCAAACACCACGTGACCTTTTGAATAGTATAATTACTATAACATAAGTATACTTCTATGTGACACCTATTGTTATTATGATTAGTAGCATGCTTAAACTTGAAGGAATATTGATCCAAGTCTTCAAAACTCTCAGTAACAGTTATATTCTAATGCCTCACATCGTTACTGTTTGCCTTCTTCAATATGAATCTGTTGTTGGACGAGGTTCAGGAATTTTGGGCAGGTACATAAAAATATCCAACCATAATGTCGTTGTAAGAAATTATTAGTATACTTCTTTGTGAACTATGGATTGAGCATTTAATAATAGCCATGACATAAATTTTATTGTAATGGTTATCTTTAAGTGTCTTAATATCAGCCTGTATAATGACAAGATTAACATAAATATGTAGGCGATCACAAATCATACTTCGAGTCCAATGTTATACTTGCTTTTTTAATAATCCTGATATATCTGTTTGTAGAAAATTCGCAAGCACTTGAGAACAATGATTTATCATCTGATAACAAAAGTGATATGCTGTCAAACCAATCATCATATATATCGTCATTATCAATATTTTGTTTCAGAAAACTATATTCTGACTACCTTCCCTTTTTATTTTTGGATGAAAAGTATCAACAAATTGTGGGCAAAGTTCAAACACAAAATTCCATGCCAAAGGTATGGCAGAATTCAGCGTTTCTTAGAGAAAAGTTAACTACGAACATGTATAACAAAAGAATTGAATGGATCAAGTCAGTCAAGTAGGCTCATACAATTAGTCCATGCTCTGCTCTGCCGATCATGCGACTTCGCCGCGATCAGAGTTTCGTTGATCTCCTATTTTTATTGTATTTGACGCGGGTGTAGTGATTATTTGTACCAAATTCTACGAAAAATATACGGGAAAATTACGTATAGTTCTAGATATCTAGTATCAAAATAATTATTCCAGTGATTTAATTGATGGAATGGAAACCAACGACAACACTAAGACATCAATTTGCCTTTCATTGGAATTTCAACCGAATGATTTAAACATTAGGTAAACTTAAAACTTTCACTGGACCGTTAAACCACTATTTGTTTTTTTTTCGATGGCAACGCTCAACTGTCAATGACTGCGTTAAATCCTCTACAGGTGGTAATAGCTTAGACAAATTTTTGGAGCAATAAATTCAGACCTGTTTAGCTAAATGGTTTTAATGTACAGTAACTAGTATACCTACAGTGACGTGTGTAGTGTGTTAAGTTATCGCTTGATGGTTTATGATTCAGATATTAAGCACAGCAAAATTTGTCACATATTGACTCTCTACTTTCAGATCCTACGTCAATGAATAAATAAATTCTCGATTATGAAACTGAAAAAATATTATTGGAATCATTGACTTTGTCCATACACATGTATGATTAAACTTTTATTATTTACTATTAGTATATTTAGGTATATTACTTCCATTATTTATAATCGTCGTTATAGTTTTTTTTTATTTTCATGTTTTATGTGGCAGAATAGCATTCAAGCTTAACTTCGCCCTTTGATAAAAGACTTATTATTATTATTATTATTATTTCGATAGATCGTACCTCCTGGATAGAGGTTACTTTCTATGCTTTCGCTTGTTGTCCAGAGATGAGTGACCAAGACTATAGCATGCTGATCAGTAGCCAAAAATGGCGTCAAGTAGGTTGACCCTGTGCTTACCACGCAATGCTGTCATCTTTTCATAAAGAATTACGCTCAGCACAAACTAGACCCTCTAAGAAAAAGTCAGTCAAATAGCTCCATACAATTAATCAATAGACATCTTTCTCTGCCCTACCGAAAGTCCACCTGGCAATGTCGCCTCTCCCCAACACCTAACCCTGTCAGGCGAGACCGCATGGCCACAGCGTAGGAAACACTATGCGTGGCAGTGATACGTGTAGTACCAGAACACTCACCGGGAGCAGACGCAGACGCGGCCGGTAGGTACGCGATCCGTCTGCTGAGAATATTTTTTTTTGAAATTACCAAGTTTGGGAGCGTATAAATATACTAACATCAAAAAGTTTAGGGATACCCTTACCACCCCCTACAGCCCCCATCTTTTTTTAATTGATCAGGATCATTTATAACTTCAAAAAACGAAGCTTGGGCGATTTATGAGAGGTCCTGTTGATACTTCATTTTGGAGCTCATTATCCCTAGAAAATGAAATCATTATCTTGGAAAATGGTCATCTGACAGGCTGTCAAAATTGAGCGTCCTTGTGCATTCATTCGCTTATAACTCAATAACCAATCACCAAAATGCTAACAATTTTCTTTTCTTGGAAGGATCTATCCGAATATCTACTATATAATTATGTGGAGTAATCTATATAAAAAATGTAAAAATCTGTTAAATGTGTTTAAAAGGAATGACTCATATTTCACTGCACTATCCGACTCTTCCAAAACAAGATTGATTTGACATACTAGGACAGTTTGATGAATAGTTATCAACTTATAAGTGATTTGTTGTACGAAAATGCTCAACAGCCTGCCAGTTGGCTACTTTGGAGATTTCGTTATTTTGTATGCCAGTGTTATAAAGTGCTTATAATTAGCTTTAAAATAAGGTATCACATGAATGACCCCGTTCCAGTAAAAGAAATATTACAAGATGGCGAAATTTTCAACTGTTATATTTACGTTGAAATATAGTATATCCATACATCGCTTTTTCGTCCCAAATTTTAGTTTCCCAACTAGGCACGTTCAGAAAATAAGTATGTGGACCTTTCTGAAATTCACTGTATGTGAAACATGCATTCATATTTCTTGTATAACTCATTTGTTTTTCGAGATACAACAAGCGAATAGCTGTGAGGTATTTTCTGAAAAGGTGTTCTTGAAAAAATATTTCGAATTCAAAGTTATACAATTTCGTAACTTTTGTAGTTAAAGAACTAAGCATGATATTGGAAAAATAAAAACACCTTTATTCTAGAGCTTCCATTCCTCTAGGACCTTTTTATGTCGTTATTGTATCTTCAACGATAACTGGAAAATCTTGTAGAGCCGGAAAGCTGCTTATGTCCTCATCTAATGAAGCCTAAGCTTATTTATATAGACGTCTAGGATATTTCCCAATTTGCAGCGACATCTGCAATACCGCCGCCGTGCTGCCTAATTCCGATGTTTTGACATTCACAATTCCCTTCTTTTGCTTACTGGTGGAAGCAGAAAGGGAACTTAAGACACGCCTCTGGACTGACTCGGGAACGCACATTTTGATACTATTCTCAAGGTCGCGCTGGGTCCTAGGGAGCCTTAAAGCAAATAGTTTCTTAAAAAATACAGTATTCCAAGATGTCTAAAATAATATTCATACTTGATACATTTCAGAGGTGTAACAAAAGGTCTATTTCTTGAAAATCTCAATCATCTTCACACACCGATGGAGAGCTCATGATTGAACACATTTCTATGAATATGCCAACATAATTTGCCCCTCTGAGGTTGTCTTCATGATGATGAAGTTCTTAGCTTACAAGGTAGATTCGTTATTCTTATCCCTGTGGTTTCGAAATTGTGGAACAATTTGCCATAAGTCAATTTTTCAGGTTGAGCTACTAGTGTTAGCTGGTGTGAAGAGTGATACGACTACCCTCCTCCTAAAAAGATAGTTGAGTGCATCATTTCGTGAAAAACGATACCCACAGATGTTAAAAATTCATATGACCTTCACGATCATTTCATCCTACAAAACATAAACCGCTATCGTAAAATTGGATCTTAGGTTATGTAACCAATAAAACAGGATTACATGATATTACGTGAATCGTCACATACCGCAACTACTACTTATTAATCAATGAATCAGTCCTTTATATTATTTTCAGTCGTTATCATACGAGGGCGTATCAATGAATCCATGACTTTTTAAATTTAACACATTTTTTATCAAAATATTTTATTTCTCAACACAATCTCCGTTGAGCTCTATACTCTTCGTCCAACGTTTCTGCAATTTTCTTATCCCTTCCATTAAATAAGATTAATTTGTCGATGGACTTATCTCTTTCCGACGAGCCGTTTCTTTGGATTCGGAAACAAGAAATAGTCACTTGGGGCTAAATCGGGAGAATAACGCGAATGAGGGAGCATTAATTCACGCAATTTCACCATGGAGACTCCACATGTGTGCACCCTCGCATTGTCTTGGTGGAAAAGAACTTTTTTCTTGGCCAAATGTCAAGCTTTCTTCAGATTGTCGTTGAATTGGTCCAGCATAATGTTAGCAACTGATTGATATTCCCTTTTAAAGTTAAAAATAAATGGTCTTCCCTTTTAAAGGTAAAAATAAATGGTCTTCATTCATCATTCAAGCTAACTTAAGGAAAAAAATGCAATGAAAAATGATGACGAAAGGCAAAGTTCAGCCTAAGCTGCTTTTCAACTAAAAACAAAAAATTACACTAATACAAAATATGTATAAAAAACATGAGCCAAGGCTGCTTTTATGAGAGCACAACTCATGCAAAAAAAGAACAAGACGGCTTAAAATGTAGCTAGCTTTGGTTTTATCTTAGGTCTTTATTCATGCAGAAGATGAGCTTTCAATCTTTTTTTAAAATTGTAGAGGCTCAGCTTTTTGAGACCTACTGCCAAGCTGTTATACAGTTTCGCAGCATTGTATGAATAACTGCACTCAAACCGACCCGTTGAATGTTTTAGAATAACCAAAAGATGTTTATTGCAAGTTACTTTATTAACAGGCAGCCTAAAAAGTTTATTGTATAAACAAGTACGTGTTCTACTAATAACGATCTTGTGAACTGATGTGAGAAAATCAAGTTTTCTTAGGTTAATCATAGTAAGCCATCCAGAATCCATAAAGCTCTCACTGATGTGGTCATACTTCCGTATACCATATGCAAAGCTGATGCAAGAAGTGTGAATTCGCTGAATGCGTAAAATGTCTGTTTGCAAAAGGACAGGTCCATATATGCAATCAATGTGGATTATACCGCGTACGTCCCAAAAACTCGGTCGCTATGACTTTATTGGCTGACAAAACCACCTTGGTCTTCTTTTGTTCCAAGTCGCCCGAAAAAACCCACAATATCGTGATTTTTTTCAATTGTTTCGGGTGAAACCATCTCAACTGGACATCCAGAACGTTCGGCATCTCTCGTGCTTGTACTGCCACAATGAAATTCAGTAAACCACATTTTTACCATTGAAATTGATGGTGCTTAGTCCCTCTAGTATTTATCAACCTTAGCCTTGGTTTAAATGATATGTTTCCGCAAAAAATGATGCTTGATCCACTTCTATGTATTTCCTTCACAATTCACGCAGATGCTTGTTGACAGGACCAGTGTTGCCGTTCCAGTTAAAACGAGGGAAATTCAAAAAGTCACGGACTTATTGAGTCACCCTCGCAGCTTATTGTTCAGTATATTTGGCATCGACAATATGTCTGTCAGTCAATTTTAGTGATTTTCTCTTATACGAAAAATGCTCGCCTGCTATACCTAGGTAACTTGACGGAATAAATAAACGTTAAATAATCTTAGCGAGATTTAATGCGATAACTGCGACACCTATTCACAAACCTAACGGTACCCCATAAACCAAATTCAAGTACACTCGAGAAATTTGCAAAAACCAGTTACAATCCATTACACTACATAAAGTTATGTAGGTATGCCAATAATGCTTTGAGTTATGCATATCGTTGCTGTCAACCTCGGTCAAGAAAATAACAAAAAGTGAGCAATGAACTTGATTGCACGAAGGTTAATTTAAAATTTAAATTGAATGTAAGACCTATTCAAATTAAATCAGTAGTTGTCGGTACCATTCATTGTTTGTGCTATTGTACATCTTTGTTAGGAGCTTGTTCTGGCTCATTTGAATAGAGAGAGAAATTTAAAGCACTTAGTTTTATCGGTAATTTGGTTCAAGATCATTCAAGACCATTCTTTCTTGGCAGGAGACTGAGAAAATAAAATATTGGAGTAGATATGTGTTTGTACTTTGTCGTTGCCTGTAACTGAAAGAGTACCTGTAAAAATGTTAATAGTGGCCAGGCTTTGCCTCTTCATCTCTACAAGTGATGACCTGTTCAACTAGAAACCTATGCGAGGATAGTGAGAAGCAATAAAGAAGAGATAATGAAAAAATAGAAATGAAGTTTCTGATATGGGATTTTGGAGATCTCCCACCGATTTTTAAGCGAACTTACAAGAAAATACCGCACCTTTTCCAATCCCATTATCGCCAAATGGTGGGTAGTCTAGAAAGCTAGAAAAAAATGAAATTTAAATTTTTCACATCGACTTAATGTGTCATATCTGTCTTTTTCCAATCTGCTTTTGACAGAAATTTGCCATCGCTGCTAGTATCCATAATTTAAAAATTAATCGTGTTATATCACACAAAATATGCTCTAAATAAAGTTTAAAACCAACATATATTCTTCTGTGCTGTCCCCATTTTCATAAATGCTAAATATGCAAAGAGGCAATACCCATATGCCCATATCAGTACTAGTAAAATACCACGAAACGTGCAAACTAGAACTGTGCGTTAGAATATTGAGCTGCAAACATTTCAAAATAAATGTAAAATGACTTTTTCCACTAAAAACTAAGTCTAACATACAAAATAATATAGCGGTGTTAATAAAGAAGTTGTATCACGAAAGAGCAAGATTATTGGCTGTAACGAGAGCTGAACTATACTTCAGCGCATATCGCAAATATTTCATTTCTTATTTTAAAATGAAAGATTAGGATGTAGCTTGCACCAAAATATCATTTTTTAATTTAAGGAACCCTCTGCTTGATATTTTATAGAACTTCAAAGTTGCATTTTGGGTGCTAATACTGTGGTATAGAATAGTGCTTTGTGAGCTGTTTTCTTCTTGTTTATACAAAAGATTGTTCAAAACTATATGAATATAACATACACTGTAAGTTACTGTGACACTGTTCATCGCAATTTTGCATTATTTTAATGATGAAAATAGTTCATTGTTAAGTAGTCATTTCTTTTATTTCAGATAATCATACCCATCACTACACCACCGTCACTGTCATATTCTCTCCACCTAGTTGCGATGTTGCCAAATCATGAATAGTAATATACCTTAAATTATTACTTATATACCAGCGTAAAAATGTGCAATCGGAACAGGATTGTCATGAAAATGCGATTTGGAGGTTTTACTGTACTAAATCCACCTTGTGCCCTACCTTTTTGAAGGAAACCTTATGCCGTTCACAAAAGTACTTCGCTTATTGTTTTTCCTATATTATAGTTATAATCTATTTACCTTTGTATGTATGTACTTGAAGAATTAGTGAAGCTGGTATAACAAAATATACCTAATTAAATGTGATATATATATATATATATATAGAGAAAATGATCATGCGGAGAAAGGTATATAACAAAAAGAAGGAAAATAATAGGCAAAATCCGCAAAAAGGAGGAAAGTGGATTCAAGCAGAAAATAGGATAGGTAACCCGAGCGATACGTATTTCTGCTGGTTGGCTTCATCAGGCCCGAAATGAATGCACATATACAACTACAAAAGTAGATACGCATGCTCATACATCCGGATACGGGTGTAACCTGAGGAAACAAAGATGGAGAGGGAGAAAAAAATCACACACGAAGTCCACAACAAGAGCCAACCTACACATTGTAGTACAAAATGGTTAGAAGACCTAGAATTTTCAAGGCGACATCTAACCACAACCACGCGGCCGGTTATAGCCACTTGCTGTGGTACTTCAAGCCCAAAGGATCTACAAAGAGAAAATGATCATGCGGAGAAAGGTATATAACAAAAAGAAGGAAAATAATGGGCAAAATCCGCAAAAAGGAGGAAAGTGGATTCAAGCAGAAAATAGGATAGGTAACCCGAGCGATACGTATTTCTGCTGGTTGGCTTCATCAGGCCCGAAATGAATGCACATATGCAACTACAAAAGTAGATACGCATGCTCATACATACGGATACGGGTGTAACCTGAGGAAACAAAGATGCAGAGGGAGAAAAAAATCACACACGAAGTCCACAACAGGTCTTCTAACCATTTTGTACTACAATGTGTAGGTTGGCTCTTGTTGTGGACTTCGTGTGTGATTTTTTTTTTTTTATTTTTTTTTTTTCTCCCTCTCCATCTTTGTTTCCTCAGGTTACACCCGTATCCGGATGTATGAGCATGCGTATCTACTTTTGTAGTTGCATATGTGCATTCATTTCGGGCCTGATGAAGCCAACCAGCAGAAATACGTATCGCTCGGGTTACCTATCCTATTTTCTGCTTGAATCCACTTTCCTCCTTTTTGCGGATTTTGCCCATTATTTTCCTTCTTTTTGTTATATACCTTTCTCCGCATGATCATTTTCTCTTTGTAGATCCTTTGGGCTTGAAGTACCACAGCAAGTGGCTATAACCGGCCGCGTGGTTGTGGTTAGATGTCGCCTTGAAAATTCTAGGTCTTCTAACCATTTTGTACTACAATGTGTAGGCTGGCTCTTGTTGTGGACTTCGTGTGTGATTTTTTTCTCCCTCTCCATCTTTGTTTCCTCAGGTTACACCCGTATCCGGATGTATGAGCATGCGTATCTACTTTTGTAGTTGCATATGTGCATTCATTTCGGGCCTGATGAAGCCAACCAGCAGAAATACGTATCGCTCGGGTTACCTATCCTATTTTCTGCTTGAATCCACTTTCCTCCTTTTTGCGGATTTTGCCCATTATTTTCCTTCTTTTTGTTATATATATATATATATATATATGAGAAATAACGGAAAAAGTAGCTGTTGCAAATCACTAAATAATGAAAACATAACAAAGAACATTGCAAGTTTTTTGATGATTTGATGAAATGATCGTTGATCTTTATTTAACTATAATGTTGGACGATGATATGTTGGGTGGATCTGACGACGAATCGACGTTGGGTATTTTTATATGCAATGACCGCTGGTGCCTTTTGTATTTTTTATGTCACGCGAGCCGCTGGTGCATTTTCCACTGTTTAGACACATACTGTTCAAAATTTCATCTAGTTTTTGGTAAATATTGGGACAGCTTTTCATAAAACAAGCCATTTACAATAAATTAAGACTCTTATTTTGCAAATAACCTCATTTCTAATTAAGTATTTCTCCCAAAAAAGGTACAACTTGGCAACAATGGACATCATTTATTTTATCTGTCAAGGAATGAGCGTTATAAAATGGCAACTGAGAATTGTTTGTACTTTCAAATATTTCTTATAAACGCAAAAACCTTGATCTCATTGAAAATACGTGAAAAAAATGGTTAAGGAATTTCAAGAAGACATTGAAAAATTACAAAACAACACCTCTTCACAGTTTACCAAGTAAATACCATCATTTGCGTATGTATTTTGATCTGCTATTTAAGCTAATAAGCTAATGTGCAATAATACGACTGGTTTTGAACCTTTTTTGCAAAAACAACGGGTTTTTACAGTTTAACATCTATTTTCCTTAGTACTATACAGTTTATGTTATATTCTTGTAACTTAGAGCATCAATTTGTACAAAAAGCAAAAAAAGACAGCATATAAAACAGTATTCTATTCTAGAGTATTACCACCAAAAATTCAACTTCGTTGTTTTATAAAATAGCAAGCAGAGGGTTCCTTAAAGAAAAGATGATATGTTCGTAAAAGTTACATCCTAATCTTTCATTTTAAATTAAGAAATGAAATATTTGCGATATGCGCTACAGTATAGTCTTACCATAACGCGTGCTCAGAAGTTTCCGATTTTCAATTTTAATGTTAATATCACAAAAATAGCTGGAGAAATCACTAGTTCGAGAATTATGCTTGCTAATGTCAATATAAACTTCCAAAGTCTCACTTTCCGCTCTTGTTAGGAAAATAGCTATTGTAGATACTATCAGAAACAATCACCTAGTTTAGCCTTGAAGCATGATGCTGCACCGAGTTGTTCGGACACCCTGTAGGGATGCGAATACCTCAAAGCTGACAAAGATCCAAAGAAAGTAACATACCTGTATGATAGATATTGTCCTCACAGCAGCAAATATACAGGGTGACTTCGAAGTTGAGTCATTTATTTTAACAGTGAGTAGATCTGATCAAAAGAAATGTTTTTTTCCTTTACCATTTTTCTGGTAAAATTAAAGTAACAAAGTTATAGCCCTTTGGAAGTTTGAGTACCGCCCTGTCTCAATGTGCTCGTGTTTGGCGACAACGGATATAATCCGTCGTATCGGTTCATCGCATGGGAAACAAAAAAGCGAAAGAATTTGGAACGAATTATTTCATTCATTTGTATACAGTCAGTGTCAGTGAATAGTTGTATCTGTTGCGTGGCTCAAACGAAATAAAAAATGGCACATGTTTATGCGGATCGGTTTCCCAATCGAGTGCAACCAACCCCTCGTGCCTTTGTTAATGTAGTACAACGGGCTCGTGAATCAGGTGACTTAAGACCTCACAGGGGACCTCACGATCAAATACAGGTCCGCACTGAAATACTTGTCGGGAGGATACTTTATAAAACAGGGTAAAAAATTTTTTTTAATTTTTTTTTTATTTTTACACACATATTTTGGTTTATATTCCTTCTACAATCATTATCTGAAAATTAATGACTCAACTTCAAAGTCACCCTGTATATAAATAGTACACGGAACATATTACTTCCAACTAATCTGAATAGAAATACACGTGTCTCATGTACAGTGGCTTAGCCTTTTTATTACTATAAATATAGAGCAGAAATAGAAGGATTGCTGCTTATTGGCTACATCAGGCCCAAATGAATGCGCATCGAAAGCACAGATGTGATAACATATGCCCATCGGATCTGGATACTGGTGTGACCTGAAAGAAAACAAGGATGGAAAGGGAAATACAACTGCCAGCTCGCTCTTGTTGGTGGCTTCTAGTTGCATTTTCCTTTCCATTCTTATGTATTTTTCACTTTGGTGTTTTCGATGCACATTTATTTGAGCCTGATTAAGCTAATAATTTCTGCTCCTGTTCCTTAATTGTTTATATCCCTTTGTTTTTCATCTAAGTTTCCGAAGGACTACTTGTATTCCTAATTATTAAAGAGAGAGAGAGCTACAACAAATTCTTATAGAGCCGCTCCGCTTATTTCATCTTGTATAAGTTTTCGGTCGCGCAAATATAGCATTTGGTTGGCTATCTATAAGTTAAATACGTTAATCAAAGGTTTTTTTGGTGCATTCTTTATGGACCGCCCTATAGGCAATAGTGTGTTACTGATTGAGGTAAAATTACCTGATTATCTGATCTGATTAACCAGTGCTTATTGTTAAAGTTCAAGAATTAATTTCCTTCAGTTGCATGCGCCGCTAGCGAGAGCAGAATCTTATAAAAAAGAAGAAAAACCTCATATACCTACGCGGTAAGCCGAGCCGACGTGATGTTAGTGACCGTCCTCCAGATCTTCGACCTTCTAAAGTCGCTGTTGCTACCATTAGCTTCTCTTCTCAAGGTTTCCGTTATGTCTGCGGGCTATATGGCCAAAATAATGATGCAAGATTTCGCGTAGGATACTATGTCGATGAAGGTTCGGCCATAATATGCTCAGTCGATTTAGAGCATTCTTCTTTATATGAGTAGATGTCAGGATATCACACTGTCATAAGGTGTGAATAATACAAAGTATTTACTAGTCCATCATGTTTGTCTGACCAATGAAACCAGATGTGTATAAAATTCTTCAAAGTAGTAAACGTTTCAATCACAAAAGTGATCATCTTCAGTATAATGAATTACTTATATTTGATTTACTTATCTTCTAGGTGGCAGTTCTTTTATTTTTTTTTGATGATTGTTTATTGTCCAACAGAACAGATTTCCAATTACAGGACAACTTACAGTCTGAAAAGAAAAAAAAGCCAAATATATAAATATATAAATAAAACAAAGGTGAGAACTGATAAGAAAAACGAAGACTGCTGAAGTTTACAGTGAGTAAAGATTAAAAACAAAATATTGTCATATAAATACTTATGGTATCAGCATACAGGGTGTCCCACAAAGTAGTGATAATCTGGTGCCCAGAGTATCGGGTGTTAGAATCATCACCCTGTATATGATCCTATTTTTCTTCGCTAAGGAGTTACGATTTTTTTTAGAGTTGTCTGGAATTATGGAATTCCGAGCTATGTTTGATGATAACTTTGTAAATAGTTCAAATACGAAGGCTGTTTTGTTTAACCTCCGATGGATCAGATATAAAAGACAAGCAAATAGAAATAAAATATTTTACTACCGAAATGTAGGTATATATACACTTATGTCTACTACTCAACATATTCGCCTTGCAGATTGAGGCATTTGTCATACCTGTGGACAAGCTTTCCGATAAAATGTTGCCGCCAGCGAACTTAAATGAGCATTGACATTGTCTTGAAGTTCCTCAGTAGGTGGAAAGTGCTGACCTCCTAGCCATCTCTTCAGTTCAGGAAAAAGATGGAAATCACTCGGAGCTGTATGGTGGGTGGTCAAAAGTCAAAGTTGTTGGGTTACTCCGGCACTTAACGGGAGAATCAATAGAGGCGGCCATGTCTATGCGAATGAAGCTCAGCACAACCTGGCTCCTTGAACTCGGCCTTGAGCAATAATTTCGTGAAGTGGATGCGCGATAGACTACTGCGCATACCACCGACCTGCCACTTGTCTGGCCGACAAGCCGTGAGATCGGAGATTAAAAAAAACGTCCCTCGTAAATGCCTGCTTTTTCCGTTGGTATTTGACTAAAACTAGATGCAAATTACCCCATCTCGCTCTGTAAACTATTCAAATCACATATACGCCCACTCAAAACAAACACAAGGGCACGCGCACATTCAAATACACGCGTTCCTATTGGCCAGTGGGACATAAACACCTACCTGTCCGGTAGCGCAGGTACCGTGTGGTATGAAACATATTACCTACATATTGTTAGTGATAGCGTTGAAATGTTAAACAGCCAGATGGGAAGGCGAATTGATTCTTAAGTCCATCTCCTCAGTCTGAAAAAAGCAGATGAGCGCAGGTAACATTACAATCAATCTGATTGTGAGTAACGTATTTTATTGGGCATCTATACGGGCTATATTTCTGGCCTGGCCATATATCTCGAATGTGTCAACTATGTCTAGACTCTATCTTGGCAATGCACGATGTCAAATTTTCCAAACATTCTGAAGGGTCGCGAAGCCCTATGGAATAGAAATGTGCAACTTTTAAGGCCTCCTTTTGATCTCATTGGAAAGAAAAGTGACAACAGATTCGTAATCTACACACCCGATTTACCCAAGGTACGGAGTTTGTTTGGAGGTGTAGGTACGCAAGGTTTTGAGAAATTTGTAATACTTCCTCGCTAGTAGGCATAGGATACCGATACCTACTGACGATATCAGTTCAAGTGACGATAGATATGAAATTTGCCCATTTGGATTACACGTATGATTATTTTTTAGTGTTCTTTATAGCAGCAGCTACGAGCCCTCGTAAGCTGCTTGGGCACAACACATATCACTGAAACTTTCTAGAAGTCTAAATTCGCCGAAATTGATATAAGCATATGTGTGACATAGAACAGGTGGTAATAAGAAGCTTACCTAGTAAAATATGACCCGATCTGCTACGTATTATTCATCGTCATTTTGTACACCGAGCACCACACTTCGAAGCGATATCGTCATTTCGTTTTCTTATCCAAACATACAACAAAAAGCTAATAAGTATTATCGGTTGTTTAACGTCAAACTGAACAATTTTCACTTTTTCGAAAGTTCCATTGTTCACAGATAAACACTGCTTGTACCTGACTAAGACTTAAATTATTCGAATTCCAGTGCAGTGTTTGATAACGTGTATTTATCGAGACGTATTGAATGGTTTGAGTTAGTAAGGTGCCTAAGCCACATTTAATTATAAAACATTTTCTTCTAAGAGCACCCGTGTCATAGGTACATACATACGAGTATGTCCGAATTTGTTCATTTTTGACAATTCGCCGATAGATGTTGCTATAATCTCTAAATGGCGTTTTTGATGAATAGTATATCCTACATATTTTTACGCCAAGAAAGTTATATTCCACTTAAATTTCAAGATGGGCGCCAAACGGAAATTAGTCGACGGTGAAAACAATGAATGTTTCAATGATTCGGAGAACAAAGATGGTTCTGGATTTAGCTCAGATGACAGTGTAAAAGGCAGGTACTATCCTCCGACTGATAGTTTATTTAGCAGCTTACAGATAGTAGCTTTGAGCGAGTAATACAGGCGAATAAATAAATGACTTTACTTTCATTACAGATGTGGCTTATGCAGAAAACTATGTTTGTGTTAGTTTCACAATACCAGTAGATAATACCATATATTTATCAGAATATATTATTATTTTTATTAAGAACGACTATCGTGGACTGCAAATAACTTCAATATGTCAATAATATGTAATTTTGTGAAAATAAAAAATTTTTGTTGAAAATCAGAGTTCAACCAAGAAAGTAAAACAAGGATCTCATGCTACTAGATTTCAATGGAAAATTTCCTAACGTAAAAATCAAATATTTTCATCTTATTTTATAACTTAAACATGGCTAAGCACACAGCTGCCCGTTCTATAATACCGTTAGGTATGTAAATATCCTTACGAGATAATACAGCCAATCGATTTTCATAAACCTGCTACCATACTATACCATATATTTTATGGTGCATCTATTTTATCATCATAAATAAAGTAAAAGAGCAACACTTACTCATTTACGTATTTTACAATAACCTACATCTTCTGAAATGCTTTTCAAATCATCAAGTGCAATAATTTATTCGTGCAGTATACAGGTTTAATGCAGGAGACTTTCTACAACTTTTACTAAACGGTGAACAAGTACAATATGAATATTCAATGTTCATGTTGAAGTCACCACTTAGACACCATTACAGAACATGGTTATTAAAATTAGTTGTAGTATAGATAATAAACTTACATTTAGCCGCTTTATTTGATTTTATTCACGTGCGATATACAACATAGTTAGTCGAAATGATCGAGAATTTCCATCGTTAGTTGAGTTACTATAGAACCTGTTAGTATTGTACCCTACTCTTATCAGTGTGTCCTAGAATCTGTCACGTATTTTTTTTTGTGCTCATCATCAGTACTCCGGAACGCCACAGATGCTTATCACTAGCGTTGCCTCAAAATGTTCACGATACCATGGCTCCTATAATGAATATACCGTCACATCCTGTAGCTCTTTGGAATTCTTTGGATGGCCTTGAGCCTCAGATGATTCACACTGACACACTCTTAAAGCTGCAATCGCAGGATCCTATATCCGTAAAATTGATTTTAAAATTGATTTGTAAATTAATCATTTGACTAAAGAACTGAGATTTTCTGCGCTGTAGGTATGAGGGTATCTGAAACATAGCATGTCCCGTGTAAAAAGTAGGAAATTGAATTTTAATATGGTCAGTAGTTAGGTTATAATAGTTTCCAAACGAACAATAGATTTTCAGATGATGCACATTTTAGGACGGTCAGATAATCCCAAATGGATTATTTATAACAAATCAGATAAGCGTTGAATACAAAGTTCGATAAGACTTTCACTCAAGAATTATTATTTATTTTTGCTTCAAATACAAATGATTAGATACAGTCTGCATAATTTATTGAATAGTTGCTTATGTAAAATAACTCTTGTTGGTACTTATTTATTTGCGTCTATTCCACTCTAAAAAAATATCCCGACCGTTTGTTGTTATACTTGTATTTCTTTGATGTAAAATCGAGGCTGAGGAAACCCTGATGATGATGATTTTTTTATACCGGGGTAGCCGCGTAGGTAGAAGCCTGAATACCGGGACACCGCGGCTACTATAAGGAGCTCAAAGTCACTTTGTCAACCCGATATTTTAACTACCTACGGTCAGTAGAACTGAGAAAAGCGCCCACAGGCAGATTGTCTCACGATCTTGACACTCCAGAGACGAAGGAACTGTCGTACCCACCAGTTCTGGATGTACGAAGTTGAACAGAGGATAGGAGGCCTGTATGGCAAGCTAGATAATGTAGTCGGGCCGGCAGCGCCTCAAATATCTGAGCAGTACTCGAGGCTAGGCCTTATATGGGTCTTGCACAGAGTGAAGAGGTTATGTGGAGAAACGTAATTCTTAGTCCTACAGAAGTATCTTAGCTTTTCCTTAACAGCTGCCGCGATTGACAAGATGTGTTCGCGCCAGATCAAGTCCTCAGTAATCTGGATACCATCCAGCCGAAATGAACGGCTCTTTATTAGAACTCGGCCATCCATCGAAACCGAAGAGCGCTAGGGCGCTTTTTGTTAGTCAAGGTTCAGTACTGTGTTTTTAAAGCATGCAGTTGTACCAGATTGTAGCATCCCTAAGCAGTGATAACCTCCAGCTCTCTTCAAAGAAGAAGTCGCTGCTAGGTTTCTTCTCTCCAGCTTCCAGTTTAGTACTCTGAATTCCTGCATGTAGAGTGCAAAACTGTGGATAGGATTGATTGTACAGGAAGGGAAGTCATTTGTATGTAATAAAAACACAGACGGAGCCAGGACTGGGGGACACCCACGTTGACATTATGGGATTTATCATTTACGATAGATATCTTGCGTCCAGAGAGGCCGATATGCATAGCTTTTCTGGAAATGAGTCTATTGTATGTTTTTGGTTGAACGTCATTACTGTGAGAATTATGGCTTAGAGTGATATTACATATAGTTCTAAGTCACCTCTAGTTTCTATCAGAGACGGTATGTCGGTTCAATTGTACATCCAGGAAATACTAGAACTTAATTTCTTTTAATTTTTCCAAACGCTTGACAACTCTTCTTTCCAATATAATGTCCGTCTCCATATTGGTAAAGCTACATTGATAATTAATTACTCTCAGTTCAGCCTAAAATGATTTCCACTGCGTTTTCTATTTTCTTTATGAACGGGTATTAATCTGAATCTTGAATCCCAGCAACCATAATGAGTAGGTCCTTTCGTTTCTTGTGTAAATGATGTTGCAAAGAACCCAAACACTACATATTTCGGTCAAGGCAATATACTTCATTCAATATTTCAGAGCAGTGTATACAAAGATGTGTAACTTATAATAGTTTTTTTTCAAACTGGAGAACACAATCCTAATCTTATAGTAGCAATGAACTTGTACTGGTGAAGGTCAATGTAAATTGAAAATGGAGTCAAATTTATTAGGATTAATTTATTATATAAACGATAAGCTTATACATGGAGGCCTATTTACATTAAGATTAGACAAAAAGAAAAAACTATGTAGCAGATATAAGATGCATAATTATACGATTTGTCAAGGTACTTTTATGCTATTAAATCTATTATTTCATGTATAAATGTATGTGAAACAGTTCCTGCTCGTACAATTAACGAAGTAAAACGTTAGTTAGAAATAGAGGTTAAATGTTCAGTCGAGGACATATAGGAAAATTCGAACTAGATATACTGAACTCACCATGAACAAGTTTGTAATATATCGGTTAATTGATGACTGAATAACAAATGATAGTTATTCTGCAACTTTAATTTACATTTTAATAAGGTTTACAGCTTCACCTGTCCCGTCTCTTCATTTTGTACTTGACATGAGTATTGCCAGACCGCAGGTTAGTAGTAGCAACTCATATTTGCTTGTTTGGGTTCTGCCTCCAAGAAACCACCTGTGCCGTAGTGTTGAATACGAGCAAGTATACAACGATGTCTCATACGATTGGTTATGGTCACAGGCATGGAAAGCGAACAGATCATATGCAGCTTATGCAGCTCCCCCGAGGTTCTTCCCCGTGGGGCCAACCATAGCTTGGTGAAAATCGGATAATGGATGTACGTACTTTAATCGACCATGGTGTACTTATAAGAATTTGGGGGTCCATGAGGAAAAGGTTGGAGTTTTACATCACACCTAGAACTATCCATTTTGGACAGGAGAGCTTCGCAGTTTAAGGTGTAGTTCATGCAATTTTAAGTATAGAAGCGAAACATTTGTTTCTCCTAGGTTTCGAAAACCATTACCACACTGCTCCCAATACCACCCCTCGGAAATCTGAATAACCCTTAAAATTTGCATACTTACCGTGTGCAATATTAGGAATCTTTGCGATCTGCCCCCTTTGATAAAATTTGCTGCCCCTCGCTTTCCAAAAAGCTTTAGGAATTGATTTATTTTACAAAAGTTTTCCTCTTGCTTATGATTGGAAATCTGGGAACAAATCCTGCAGGTATCTATGTCAGGATTATCAACACACTCTCATTGGCTTTCTTAAAGCACCTCTGGTATCCAGCAATTTCACTGTTCAAGTATAAAAAAATACCTGCGCATAATAAATATTTCTTTGAAACCATATATTGAGATCTAAACTGAGATGAATTCTGACGTATCTCTCTTTCCTTGTGAGAAGTCGGTTAGATCTAGATGCGCGTGTCTGTCCAGTTGCAGTTAATAAGCCCCTTAGTATTCATTGCACGAGACTATGTAACATAATATACAAAATAAAAATGGAATTTCAGCCGATTCCGCTGAACCACAGTTATTCTATGAGTCAATGCCTCCGTGACAACTACTACCACCTCAACAGTGCTCGAATGAACTTACAGCTACACTTTGTGCATGCAAAATACAATTGACTTATCCGAAGAGGCCTATAAATATTATACTGGTATAAACATTATAGAAATGAACCTCAAAAACTGTTTTCAGTACAAATATATATAAATACACTCAGTGACATTAAAAGTGTTACACCCAGAAAGAATAATTTTTTCAACTTGATTTTTTGGCAATGAGGTAGTATTACATTAAGAATGAAACGATAATATTCTCACAAAATTTCATTGACAAGTAATAAGAAAAAAAATAAGATGATCGATGTCTGATTTTGGCACCTCATTCCAAGCAACTCGAACTTCGTGGATTAGCTGTGGCAGAGTCTGCGGGAGATGGTGCAAAGTGAATAGTCTCCTCCCCAACATACCCCACACATGTTCGATGGGATTTAAATCCGGTCCACCGCAAAATATTAACGCCTGTTTCTTGTTAAAATCCGTGCGTTGTCTTGCTGAAAAAGGACGTGTCGACGGCCCTCTAGATACAGCAGTAAAGTGATTTTAGTCATATTGCCTTGAACGAAGGGGTGATCGGCTACCATAGGCAATAGCCCCCCAAACCATTACTCTAACTGTCCTGTGTACACGCTTCTCAACAACAAATCCAATATCACGCCGTTCTCCATGGCGGTGTCTTACCCTTCTACGACCATCGTGCGTATCTAGACAGAATGGCAATTCGTCGCTGAAGATGACATTATGTCATTCTGCCTCCCAATGTTGCCGTTCTCTTCTCCAGTTCGGGACAGTTGACGGCAGTGGTCCGCAGTCAGAGGAAGCACTAACCGTTGACGGTATGAAAAAAGTCCAAAGGCAATGCGGCGATAGAGTGTACGCATAGTAACAGATCTACCTTCTTCTCTAAACCATTGGTCAGCGATCTGACGCGTAGTAGCCAGTTGGCCTTCTTCGTGTCCCTCTACCTTCTTTTATCCATACACTGCACACACGCATTACCGTCATTGCAGTTCAACTAACACGGCGCCCAATTTCTCGGTAGGACAAACCAACATCTCGATAGGCAATGATTCTATCCCTGTCAAAGTCGCAAACATGGTGATAATTTGGAGGTCTTCGAACTACTCGTGGCATTTTGTTATTCTTAACACTTAGTGAATGAATGGGCAATAACTAAAAATATATGTACTACTCAGGTCTCAGAAACTGCTTTCATCACAAAAACTAACAGACAACATTTTAACAAAGGTAAACAAAAACAAATACAAAACGTTGACATTGTTGCCACATCATGCTTTAAATATAGTCAATATGTTGCCAAAAAAGCAAGTTGAATAAATTATTTTTTTCTGGGTGTAACACTTCCCAAGTCACTGAGGATATGTGTAGATATCTTATGACAAAAATCACATGAATAGTGGAACCGAGGCTTCCATTTTCAGGACCACCTGTTTGTTTCGATAATCTTTACAGATGGGACCTACAAGAGATTAGCCGGATATCTGCTTTAAAATAGGATCTTCAATCATACATACAACTTCTAGGCCTACTTATTTTACTATCTCACGCCCCTCTCGCTTCAACTGAGGAGTAAAATTATTAATAGAGTACCCTCTTTTTGGACAACGAGTGGCTGTGTGTCTTTTTACTTTTATTTAACTTCACCTGTTGTTATGTATGTTAGTATGTATGGGGCTAACCCTGGAACTATGTTTTGAACCAGTTAACATTAACCAATTGAGCTGAAACTTTATACACACTTTAATTCGCGTATTAATAGAAAATAAATTTTTTTTTTGAATCTAATAGACCGGATGCTACAAAATGGCGATCTATAATTTTCATTGTAATCCCTAAGATATGAAGATGGATATCAAATGAGCGGGCTTGTTACGATAAACACAATGCGCAAAGTGACGTCATCCTAACATCAATATGGCGGCCGCCGCTAAATGTCGATTTCTAATTTGATATGAAACGGTTTAATGAGACACGCAATTAACAAACAACATCATTCTAAATTCCATGTGACGATCGTCGATAAATATCAATTCATTAATATATGATTTATATCTATCGAAATTTTATATAAAAAAAAATAGAGTAAGAAGTTTTGTGGCGCTCTATTGATGAAATATAACTAAAATTATATATGTATTGTATAAATCACCACACTACTTGACATCATAAGTACTAAAAAGAAAAAGAAATGAATTTAATAGAAAAATAATTAAGTATTAGAAACAAGCTTTTTATGAAGTAAACTGAAGACTTAAAAACATTTTCTCCGGTTGGAAACATTCAAACGACAATGAAGCTCATTTACACTGTCTCTATACCTAATCTGCCCTCAAGGGAAAGTATAGCTGATCCTATGATTATATCTACTAATCCTTTTCACCCAAAATAGGATCATTATCTTCAAACCTCCTAGGTATTGTTTCACCAAAATAGTACTTGAAGCATTTTGTCATATTGGGTAGTGTCGTACGTCATAGGTTATATCAAAATATACTTGCTAGTTGTTCTATACTATATATTATGGACCAGTTTTAGAAGAACTATTATGTTACCTTAAAGAGAAAAGTACAGTGTTTCAAAGTCTGTCTCTAATTTTAATTATATTTACATCTAGAAAAACTGAATTTGCAATAATTACAGGATATATTCATCTAGAACTAAAAACCGCTGTATGTATGTTTTATATATATTAGCAATAAAAAAACTAGTATTAATTATTTGTATTAGAACGTAAATAAGGCGGTTCCTAAATAAATAGCAGGATTTTCATTGTAGTACTGCTTTTATATTTTTTCATACTTTTGCGGTTTTAGTAGCAAAAACTTGCAGGATACAAAATAAGGATTATATACATATGTGTATACAAAAGGCTATTGAATACGATTTTTTTATTGACAAATAATAATGACTAGACAGTATATTTGCTTGACGAACATAGTTCTCGATTGCAAGGTCGCACAGAAAATAACAACCTATGAAAAATTCTTGATGGTCAAGTTAAAAATACATGTATCGTCAGACGACACAATCATCAAGAATATACATGAAACATAAAGCAGACGTCAGTTGTTCTGAAATTCAAATCAAGTACGAAGAATGTTGGAAAAAACACTATCATTTCTGTTCATCAGAAACACATTACACAGTCAAACAATGCGCATTCATTTGAAAAAAAAGGATTATTACAAACGGCAGTCCGATTTTGCTCCCGCTAGGCAGCGTTTGTTTGGTTGGGGGTCAAAGCTGTCAAACGTAGATTGGAAAATACTGATTCGATAGAACGGTAAAGAAAGACATTTGTTGTAAATAGCTGACCAGAAACTGATGTGTTTGTAAGTTCTTATTCTTATACCGGGTTTACATGCAGGCCACTTCCACGGCAGTGAGAAGGGAATTGGGCAGCGCTAGTATGTAAATACGCAGCTCGCATCGCCAATGCTCATGCCGCTGCCTCTGCCGCATGCTCCCTTCGTTCGCGGTTTTTGGACGAAAGTCAAAGGGCCAGCATCACGAGTGGCAGCACGAGCGGCAGCGACCGTTTACATGCTGAACGCTGTACCAACAGTCAGTCCTGCCCTTACCACGTGGACCCGGGGTATCTTAACCTAATTTATTCCTTTTTGGCAAATTACTCGTTTTAAAATACATTTGGGCGATAATTGAGTGGAGCAATGATCAATTATTGAAGTTTTTAGAGCTATATGCGGCTGAAAGATTATTATGGTAGTATTGAAAAACATCCCAATACAAGAGCTTAAGTCGAAAAAAATTGCTAATGGCAACATTTCGGCCGCTATTAAAAAAGAAAAACGCTTTGATTAGATGCAGGAGCGGGTGCAGATGAAGTGTGTCAGCCCATTTGGTTTGCATTTGATGTAATGGAAAATTTTTTGGAAGCAGTTTATGGTAGGTTAGAAGGGTGGCTGCATGTAAACAGTCCCTTGTTCCAAATCCTGCCGTGAAATTATTTACGGCAGGACAGTGGGCAGCGCGAGTCGCAGCGGCAGTGGCTGCATGTAAACCCGGTATTAGATATAACGGATTTGACCGTCGAGCCATTAAGACTAGATATAGTAGAGTAAATTCATAGGGTAGGGGTGATGCCAAAATTGCCGGTAATGAAGGCTATTATAGCCATTGCTACGGAAATTGTTTCAGGCTCTGCGCAAATGGCATATCTCTCATGTCTGCATCTCTCTCTTTTACGTACATGTATGTATACATGTGCAGAAGCTCTACAAGCACTACAATAAATTGCGACAGCAACGCCTTTCTCACCGCCAGTATCGGCTTCACGTGCATAAGACTCTTTCCTTATTCAGCTTAACCTCTTCATGTCCCCAGGCTAACTAGAGCCATCGGCTTCAAACTTTCCAGATTACATCCAATTGAGCGGTAACATCTGGCAGGAGTATTATATGATAATGTCATTAAAAATCGACTATGAACGTCACCTACGGAGGAATGAAACAACGACACATAGTATAGAATTTACAGCTTGAGCCATAGAAGCTATAAATGGCCTCTGCTAGTATCTCTGAAGCAGATGTTACATCACAGCAGAGCCAACCAATCTAGCTCAAATCCCAACACGTTTGTGCAACACGCATAGCTAGT